GGGTCCTACAATATAATCATCTCTTCAAGGCCCCACCTTTCAATTACCATAATAGGATTTCCCACCCTCAACACTTACAGTGGGGATTAAGCTTCTAATATATAAACTTTGGGGAACACAATTCAATTAATCCATGGCAGAAGCAAAAGAAGAAGCCTGGCTCAGCACAGGAAGGAAGAGAGAGCAGGGCATTTCTAGGAACTGCAAGGCGCTCGGTCCAGTTTGTTCTCAGAGGGAGAGGTAGGAAGTTCGAGAGATGGTGCTGGGCCAGCCACCCTCAGAGCTTGGGCCACATCCTCAGGTCGGTGGGGCCTCCGTCACTGGGTTTTCCTTCCAAAGGAGGAAATGATCAGGACCTCTTACACGGCTGTCTTGGGTGTTTAGTATCACAACTGCCAATAATGAAAAAGATTCCTGCTCCTTAAAAACACCTCATTCCAACACCCAATTCCTCTTGCAGGCAGAACCACAGGAAATGCTTTGGCCATCTTTTCCAGGCCATAAAAACAGGGTCTTGGTGTCCTCCTGTGATTAAAACCCTCACAGGCTGAGAAGAGGCAGTTTGGATTTCAGGAGCATGTAAAAAAAATCATGTAATTTTTTCAGCCTAATTCAGCTCAGTGGGATCAACCTTTGTGGCAACTGAGAATCACCTGGGAAGTTTTCAAAGAAATGCCGATGCCTGGAGCACCCTTGGAGATTCAGATTCAATTGTCTGGAGCAGAGCTGGGCGTTGGTATTTTTTAAAGCTCCCCAGGTGATCCCGTAGGCAGCCAGGGCTGCAAACACTGCAGAGTGCACTGCCTAGCAACGGGGCCCTCTCGGAAAGGGACTGGACCCCCCCTTGCCAGGTACTCCAGCTGAGTGGATTCTGGGTCAACTTTTCAAACCTTCCTGGCAGATCATCAGAAGCAGCCCGTGGCCACTGCTGAGACCTCTAGGTGCTCTCCCCACCCTCTCCAGGCAGAAGCTAAAGGACCTTATTCTAAAGCCAACAGAAGAGAGCTAGAGAGGGAAGACTGCCTCACCTATCCGTGCCTCTACAGGCATCGTCTCATTCCCCGAGCCATACTGTCTGTGCAGTACTAAGAAGCTTGGCCATGGATATTTTTCTTGCATTTACCCAGAAACTCCAAGCAGGCTCATTAGCACATGACTGACACTCACCCAGCCCCACATACCACCTTCCTCCTCACCCCTGTCTCCAAATCTCTTTTTATTCCCATATTTGACCATTTATTGGGTTTTGTTCTCTATGCCCTGAAAAGCACATTTTTGGAATAGAAATGCTGCTGGAAGAAAGGGGGTGGCTGTGGGCTCCGTGGTCCCGGCCCATCTCCCTTCATTGCCCTCCTGGTGAAATCCCATCCATCAGGAGCACCGAGCGTCAAGCCCTGTAAATCCTTCCCAAGGCTCTGCCCTGTGTTGTTCCTTCCATACCAAGACAGCAAATCGTTAGGTCTGTGCTCCTGGGTTGTCTCCTGCAGCAATTAACAGCTGCCCCGGTGTTAATTCCCAATCAATAGCCCCGATGCTGCTGCTCTTACAGCTGTCGGCTGATGGCCTCCACAGCACATTTTGAAAGTAACTTGCAGGGCAGTGGGATTCTCTGTGCCCCAGGAAAGTCCTCACCAGGTTTCTGAAGGACAACACGCCCCTTTCACTGAGTGTCAGGGCCAAGAGACAGAGTGAGAAGCAAGAAGGCACCATCCACCTCTTCCCGTCAGATGACAAACTGGGGAGACAGGCGGAGCTAAGTGCCCTCTGGGGTAGCAGCCCCTTGGGATATTCATGAAGCTTCCATTTTCCTATCTTGGCTTTTTTGGAATTTTTGTTTGTTTGTTTTGAGATGGCTGTATTTTTCCTGCATCTAAAACCCGTGTTCACATCACTCTTTTATTTTTTGGAATCGCATAGCCTGGTTTCTCATTTCTCGCCTGTGCTGCTTCCTCCAGCTCCCTGTGGACAGAATGAGACCCGAGAGGATGGGAAGATTATCCAGCTGCCTCCCTGCAAGACAGGGGCTTGGATTGTGCCGGCCATCATGGCCTGCTACCTCTTAGTGGCAAACATCCTGCTGGTCAACCTCCTCATTGCTGTCTTTAAGTGAGTGGACCTTTCTTCGGCGCACTTGGGACGGGCAGGGGGAGCGAGGAGGGAGGGGTGGATACTTCAGAAAGCAGTGGGTTTGCTCACCTGATTCTTTCTGGTCTCTATTTCAGCAACACATTTTTTGAGGTAAAATCAATATCCAACCAAGTGTGGAAGTTTCAGAGGTACCAGCTCATCATGACCTTCCATGAAAGGCCGGTCCTGCCCCCACCTCTGATCATCTTCAGCCACATGACTATGATATTCCAGCACCTGTGTTGCCGATGGAGGAAACATGAGAGCGACCCAGATGAAAGGGACTACGGCCTGAGTAAGCCTCAAGCGACAGTGCCGGGGACCACAAATCAGAAATCCCTGCCACTTCCTATAGGCTGTAATGCAGATCGTGTGCCCACCTAGTTCCTCCTTCCTCCCAGCTGGCAGACGGTGCTGAAGACTGGGAGGGAATGGAAGGGTCCACTTGCATGAGACACCATGCTGGAAAGAAGACCCAGAGGCTGAAATCGAGCATTCTTAGCCTCACGTCTTTCATAGCGAAAAAAACCAGTCTCCAGCAGGGCCATTTAGCACTTCATAGGTTCTGAGTTTCTTACTTCCCGGACGTCCCACCACAAAATATATCAACCATATTAATATGTATCCAGTGCTACATTATCTGCAATTGAATATCGTGACATAAGTCGAGCTGAGTTGTAGGTGACCAAGTTTGATTTTCCATCATCATTTCTGAACCTATGATTTTTTTTAGCTCTTAATCATTTTCCTAAGCCTTAGGGTTTGTGCCTATATGACCATGTGAAGGAACAGTGCTGCTTTCCATTATTCAAAGGACAAAACAGAAGACCCTCCACAATCCACCTTCTAGTCAGTGTTTCTAAAAGGAAGTTCTATTGGCATGGGGCAGAACGAGTCCTTGTTGTGTATGATCGTCTCACACGTTGCATGAGATTTAGCATATCTGGCCTCCACACATTAAATACCAGTAGCTCCCGCAGATTCCTTAATGCCCCTTGGGTACCATGCTCAGTTAAAAACCACTGGGAATCCAGCCCTGTACAAGCAAGCTTCTAAGCTTTCTCAAAGTGTTTCACATAGACTACCTACACTAAATCTGCCAAGCAAGACCTCTGGGGTTGTAGACCAGGAACCTACCTCCCTCTATGTGATCACCATTTAATCAACTGCTACTCTGAGTCTGAAACTGTTGACAACCTCTTTGACATAGCAACGCCCAACTTCTATCTAGACATTAAAATTGGAGTACTGGACAGAGCTGGGAATTCCAAACTTCACTGTTTCCACCTGAAACACAAATTTAGGCAAATAGAAAGCTTAGTGGGCAAAAAGAATGACCTATGAGATAAACCCTGAGCTTCTTTACTTAAGAACTTTGGCCAGCATAGATGGGCATAGGCTGCCAAATCATGGGCAGAGGAATGCTGCCAGGAATTATGCCCAGCAGTGGATAATGCATGAGGGTTAACTCAGGGCCCTGGAGTCATTTACAACAAAGCCTGACTTGTTTGTGGCAGAAGGAGAACCTCACTTATCCAGATGGCTTAGGAAAGGGGTGTCTGGAAATGAAACACAGGAAGAGGGGCAGTCCAGAGACCCCTCTCTGCTCCAGTGCCCACACCCCTGCAGAAGACCAGAGAACCTGAGCAGCCAGGCATTATTGCGCTGGGTGGGAGCTGGGTCCATCAAGCTCCAGTTCATGGCTTTCTTGTTGTGATCACCACTAGGAGCAATGAAAAAACAGGCAGGTCATTGGACACATGGAAGGGAGGAGCCGAGTGTCAGTTTCTCAGAGAAGGAAGATTTCAAAGCTGTGGCTGGGTGAGAAGGGCAAGGAGCTGAGACAGGGCCCTGCACTATGTGAATGACTCACGGGAAAGCAAACTCTTTGCCATCAGTCTATAGCCTTAATTAAAAGAACACAGGGCACTACACATTCTTGCAAAACTTCACATAAAAGAACTCTGAAGGGTAAAATTTAATTTTTATTGTAAAATTTAACATGTTGATGAATTTTTTAAAAAATAGTATTTAAAAAAGAACATTACACATACCCAAAGAAGTCAAATGAGGCACTATTTAAGGTGCCAGCAGAATATTAAATATATTCCTTTTTATCTCAAATACAGCAATAGCAGGTAAGAGTCCATATATTGGAGGCCTCTAGAAACTGTCTGTCTTCATTCCCTTCTCTCCAAGCTCTTGCTCTATGTAATTTCATGACTGAAACCCAAGTGGCCCCTTCCAGAAAAGCTCTCCCCTAACTCAGGAATCCTGCTATATTTGAGAACAGTGGTCTGATTTCCAGTATTTTCTTTACTCTCACCTGTTTTTATATTCATATTTTCCATGCCCCAAGCAAACTCAGACTTATGCCTCAGGAATCAAGAGCAACCTCAGAAAACTAAATCCCTGAGGGTCTAAAATTCAGGACTCCAAACATTTTGGACAATCCCTGTAGCATATCAAGTGCACAAGATTAGAAGAAATGTCCCAATGGGCCGGCCCGGTGGCGCACTGGAGAGTGCGCTGCTTGGGAGTGCGGCGGCGCTCCCGCTGAGGGTTCGGATCCCATGTGGAGACCGGTTCCCGCTCACTGGCTGAGCGCTGTGCGGGCGTGACACCGAGGGTTGCAATCCCGTTACTGGTCAGTAAAAAAGACAAAAAGAAAAAAAAAAAAAAAGAAATGTCTCAAGTACAATTTTTCCAAAGTGACTCTATCACTCTAACCCTGATTCACAAACCATTTAAAGATTCAAATTTCCAGGGCTCTTTCTACTGCTATATCAATTATAAATTAGTTTGCCTTGTATTAACAGAAAACCAAGCTAACAATAATACCAATAAATAAGGCTTTATATTTTTCACATGACAAAAAGTGAAGATATAGATAGCCCAGAGCTCAACAATGGTTCATTAAAGTCAAAGATCCAAAGTTCTTCTATTTTTAGGTTCAGCTCTTCCTTACTGTGTAGTCTTACCTCATGGTCACACAATAGCTGCTGCACCTCCAGTCATCACACTCATGTTCAAGGCAGGAAAAAGAGGGGAAGGTGAAGAAATATGGAAGGAAGCAACTGTGTCTTTGTATTTTATCAGGAAAGCAAAATCTCTTCCCACCCCTCCCTGCAATAGACTTCTTTTGTTTCTTGGACCAAACTGGGTCTCATGGTTGCTACTAGCTTCAAGGAAGATTAGAAACATATGTATTTGGCTTTCCAGCCTCAGTAGTGGGAAGGGGAAGAGGGGGAATGAGATTGCAAAAGGACTTTTAGTAAGACCAGTCAGCAATGTCTGTCTGCCACATCCCAGCCCAGAGACTTCTGAACTTTTAAGAAACCCACATGCTCTGAGTAGCTTCCCTTTCCTTGATTTAGCTACGTTCTTGGCCTTACAACTTGTGTAATTCCAACCAGTTCCTGAGATAAACCAGATATACTCAGGTAAACTTCAGAGACCTGTAGTGAGTCTAATGTTTAAAAAGAAGACAATGACGTAAGTTGCCTAATTGGATTTGGATTTTGTCTGAGACTCAGTAAAGAACCTTGGCCCCTTTTCCCAACCTTGATTTATATTAGGAATGTCACAAGGCCTACAGATTAGATCCATCACTTTTACTTCTCTGCCTCATGGCTCCCTCTTTTTTTTCCCAGAACTCTTCATAACTGATGATGAGCTCAAGAAAGTACATGATTTTGAAGAGCAGTGCATAGAGGAATATTTCAGAGAAAAGGATGATCGGTTCAACTCGTCCAACGATGAGAGGATACGGGTGACTTCAGAAAGGTGAGTTCCGGGCCGGCCCGGTGGCGCACTGCTACAGTGCGCCGCTTGGGAAGCGCAGCGGCGCTCCCGCCGAGGGTTCGGATCCCACATACAGACCAGTTCCCGCTCACTGGCTGAGCGAGGTGCGGGGGCAACACCGAAGGTTGCGATCCCGTTGCCGGTCCCGGTCCAGTATGGGCGCGACACTGAGGGTTGCGATCCATTGCCGGTCACAAAAAAAGAGACAAAAAGGAAAAAAAAAAAAAAAAAGAAAGGTGAGTTCCATAGGCACATGCCTCCTGCAGATGTTTTGTGCCATGGCATGCTTTACCAACTGAATTTGTTCAGACAGCTACATAACACAGATCCCTTGTGTTTATTTTTACTGCCCAAGAAATCGTGGAGCTTAGGAGAGACCAGAGCATGGCCTAAAGTGTCTACGGATCAAAATCCCAGACTTGCAGATCCTAGATTTCTCCAGCAGGTCGTAGCCACTGCCCTCCTGGACAATAGAGACTGTTGAGTCCAGGACAGGGCTGGGGTTGCTGGCTCAGACCAGAAATTGGAAAGCTCCAAGCCAGACACAAACCAGGAGAGCCCCAGCCTGACTCTAGTTTCTCCAACAGGTTTAGTTTCATGTAGACCACTGAGTGCCTTCTCCAGAGGAGCAGGATAGACCTAGTACCTTGCTCATGTGGGTGCTCAGTACCTTCTGAATAAATGACAGCAAGAAACGTGTAAATCAGTTAGAATAATGAGTAGGGTTTTTTCCCCCAGAATAGTCTTGTTTTTTTCTTTTTTATGAAACAAGATAAAAGCAAAGAAATAAAAGCAGATTTTTCTACCCAGCGGTTACATAGTTTTAGATCTCATTGACCAAATAGTTTAGTCAGTAGGGTTAAAAGAAAAATCTCCAAATAAAGAGAAAAGAATCCTTTAAATCTAATAACTCTAGCTTTATGCAAATGCAGTTATGCTTTCTTATTTTTCTTATTTTGCTGTGGACTAATAAAAGCTTCATTACAGTCTGGCATGTTCAAAACCCAGCATTTGAGAACCACGGTTCTAAAGAACACTCAGAGGTTACAAAGCATTGGTGTAACTTTAAACTGTAAGCCTTTGCAATATAAAGATGACAGAAGTAAATTATAAACAGCATAAAAAGGTATAATACATTGATGACTTCAGTCAATATAACTCAAGCTGCTAAGATTCAAGGCAGTCACCTCTAATTTTCATGAAGTGACATTTTGTTGGCTTATCCACTTCAGACATTCTCTAATGACTCTGTAGAAATTACATAAATGGGCATTTTATGAAATAAATAGGTCCCTGGCCCTTTATTTCTTTAAGGAAGGAAGTCTAGATAAGTAAGTACATACACATATGCCATTGAGTGATTGTACCCCTGGGTACCCAGCCAATATTAATAAAGTTTAAAGCCGTGCACAGATTTTATACACATCTGTCGCTGCAAAATAGAGCATTTTATGATACGATGTAAAGTAATTTTCTGACAAACATAGGAAAGAGCCACAAATCTCAAGATCTCTCTTATTCTGAAGACTTGAAAAAGCTATTTATTAATGGATGTATAGCCATGTGGTTCCCAAAGAATCGTGCCATGTGGACACTTTACCCATTGCTCAGACATATTTCCAAAGCCTATGTCTATGGGCCTTTGAAATGCTTTTTGCACTCAGAAAAGCCATAGACCTGGGAGGAAAGAAAGGTAGGAAGGAAGGAGTGTTAAGATGCAAGGAACGGGCTGGCCCATTAGCTCAGTTGGTTAGAGCATGGTGTTTTAACACCAAGGTCAAGGGTTCAGATCCCCCTACTGGCCAGCCACCAGAAAAATAAGATAAAAGATGTGAGGAAGCTTTTGCCTCTCTGGGGAACTAGAATAAAGAGGTGCAGACACCAGCACACGTGAGCATATTGTGACCACTTCTCCAATTCCTTCTGGAGAGAAACAGAAAGGAACAATAGCACCTCCACCTGAGCCTCTCACCCCATGCCTGCAAACTCTTCAAGACCACTGTTTTTCCAAGGCTCTGTTCCTCTTGGGGTGGTGCAGAGCCCCATCCTCAAAGAGGATGACCAAAGAGAGTAATTCTCAGGAATCTAGGACAGAGCATAGAAGTGCCCTCCCTGTGTCCGAGGTTTTAGACTGACCTGGAGTCATGGGGACTTGAAGAACCAAGATGACCTCACGACCAAGCCCAGCTGCCAGAGAAGTTAACCTAAGCCCAGGCTTCAAACTGCTTCTGTTACTTCTGTCTGTATTCGTTTTGGGATTTCTTTGTTGTTGTTTGGGGGGAGGGGGGGTTGCATTTGTAAGTTACCCAAAAATAACGTCTTTAAGCACTAGACTGAACTCCATGCAACAGAAACACTATTGGGTGCATGAGGAAACAGAGATCAACCAAAGGAAGACTGGATCCTTGTAACCCATCTCACACATCTTCTAGGACATGTCATTTCTGGGTGGAGTGACCAGTGAAGTCACCTGTCCTATTTACATTCGATTGAGAGAGATAGAGAGGGATTAAGGTATATACACATATGTATGTGTGTATATTACAAACATTTGAATAGGTGCATATGGTAAATTTACCTAAGTTAACTGTGCACATTATATATAGTATATAGAAAATTATATAACTCTACGAGGTATATACACATATGTATGTGTGTATATTACAAACATTTGAATAGGTGCATATGGTTAAATTTACCTAAGTTAACTGTGCACATTATATATAGTATATAGAAAATTATATAACTCTACCTTCATGTTAGACAACCCCAATACTGAGATTTGAAATCAGAAACATGAAGATCTTGGAGCTTTACTCTACTAAAAGACTCAGGAAAAGGGTTTCCAAGTCTTAGTGAGCCCTAAACTTCTTCTCCTGCCACTACCTTTAAAATACAATTTATTTAGGGCCGGCCCGGTGGCGCACTGCTACAGTGCGCCGCTTGGGAGCACGGCGGCGCTCCCGCCGAGGGTTTGGATCCCACATACAGACCGGTTCCCGCTCACTGGCTGAGCGAGGTGCGGGCGCAACACCGAGGGTTGCAATCCCGTTGCCGGTCCCGGTCCGGTACGGGCGCGACACTGAGGGTTGCGATCCGTTGCCGGTCACGAAAAAAGACAAAAAGGAAAAAAAAAAATACAATTTATTTATACAGGTTGTATTTGCATAAATTTTTTAGAAATACAAAAATATTCCGCGGCGGCGCTCCCGCCGAGGGTTCAGATCCCACGTGCAGACCGGCGGCTCACTGGCTGAGCGAGGAGCGGAGGCAACACCGAGGGTTGCGATCCCGTTGCCAGTCCCGGTCCGGTACGGGCGCGACACTGAGGGTTGCGATCCGTTGCCGGTCACGAAAAAAAGACAAAAAGACAAAAAAAAAAAGAAATACAAAAATATTCCGCGGCGGCGCTCCCGCCGAGGGTTCAGATCCCACGTGCAGACCGGCGGCTCACTGGCTGAGCGAGGAGCGGAGGCAACA